TCAAAAGTAATATTTTTGTAAAATCCCCGCCTAACTTTACAAACTCTTAACAAAAATATTCATTTAAAAATCCACCCTCATATCGCAGATATTCCTTGAAAAAATATTCATTTCAAAATCCACGCTTATGTCTCAGATTTTCCGGGAAAAGTTATTCATTTTAAAATCCACCCTCATATCTCAGATATTCCTTGAAAAAATATTCATTTCAAAATCCACGCTTATGTCTTAGATTTTCCGGAAAAAATTATTCATTTCAAAATCCACGCTTATGTCTCAGATTTTCCGGGAAAAATTATTCATTTAAAAATCCACGCTTATGTCCTTCCTTGAAATAATATTCATTTAAAAATCCACGCTTATGTCTCAGATATTCCTTGAAAATTTTTTCATTTAAAAATCCACGCTTATGTCTCAGATATTCCTTGAAAATTTTTTCATTTAAAAATCCACGCTTATGTCTCAGATATTCCTTGAAAAAATATTCATTTAAAAATCCACGCTTATGTCTCAGATATTCCTTGAAAAAATATTAATTTAAAAATCCACGCTTATGGCTCAGATATTCCTTGAAAAAATATTCATTTAAAAATCCACGCTTATGTCTCAGATATTCCTTGAAAAATTATTCATTTACAAATCCACGCTTATGGCTCAGATATTCCTTGAAAAAAATATTTATTTAAAAATTCACGCTTATGTCTCAGATAATCCTTAACAATATTCTTCAAAAAGTCCTTCAAAAAATATTTTTAAAACCCCAGCTGGCTTCCGTTATTTCATTAAAATTTATCATTATATTGAAAAAATAGTATACATACTAATAAAAACAATATAATAAAATAACAATAATTAAAAATTCTACGCTTATTACTTACTTTTCCCTTCTTTGTATTGCAGGATATTTTCCAGGCGATCCCAATCTGTTGTCAAACGTTTGGTAAGTAAATATTTATTAACGGGATTCTCAAAGTACGAGGTACCCGTTTCCACCGCTTCATTATGTTCGCGTTCATATTCAGCCAAACGCCTAAAATATAACAACCTCCAGTAAGCTTCATTCCCCTCATCACTCATTCATTCCCCGATTCACTTACTCTTTTAGATAATCTAATTTATTTTCATTTTTTCCAATAAATTTTTGCATATTTTTCAACATTCTCAATTCAAAATTCATTACATGAGACATTTTATGTATTGATGAGTAAAATTCCGCATTTGTGGGAAGAATTGTGACGGTGGCCACTATTGTGACAATTGCAAGTAGCCAATTCATTTTTTTGTTGATACACCAAAATAATAACTAAATTGTTCTTTTTTATTTTTATTTTTAATATTCCAATAATAATTTATGTTTCGTGTTAAATGTTCTAAATCTTACTAAGGCATCATTCATATTAGTTTTTATGTTTGACCTTAGATTTTGCCAAAAAGCCTAAGAATTTCTATGCGAAAGCTTAATTTAAACACAGAGAATGTTTGGTCGAAGTTAAAAGCTTTCTATTGCCTAATGATAGCTGTGTGCTGTGTTATCAAGAAACTGGTTTCTTAACCCTCATTAATACCGTAAATCTTAGGTGTAGGTATCTTTCACCACGGGTCATTGGTCTTCTGATTGGCGGGTCAACACATCGTTTGGGTACGATTTAATAAATAATTTATTTTTTCTTGGCAAAATAATTCGCAATATGTAGATTAGCTGAATTGTTGTGGCTTTGAGTGACCACCCGTTCAGCTCACAATTATGGACCTATCGTCGAGATATTTTTCAAAAAGTTCCGTTTAGTCCTAAGGATTATGTGTAATAAATAGTAGAACGAATGAACCAATAACATTTCTGAACTAACCCTTTTAAACAGTACCCGCCAATTTTCATATTTTCGGGATTTTGTGCACGGTTTTCAACCGAATTGACTGTAGTTAAGTTTTCTGAATTCTCACAGTGTGTGAAGTCTTCATACCAAAAAGGAGAATATTTTCATGTCTATCCTCAGCTCTGTAGGCGTGGATTTTTAAAGAATATTTTCAAGTCCATTCTCAGATCTCTAGGCGTGGATTTTTAAAGAATATTTTCAAGTCCATTCTCAGCTCTGTAGGCGTGGATTTTTAAAGAATATTTTCAAGTCCATTCTCAGATCTCTAGGCGTGGATTTTTAAAGAATATTTTCAAGTCCATTCTCAGATCTCTAGGCGTGGATTTTTAAAGAATATTTTCAAGTCCATTCTCAGCTCTGTAGGCGTGGATTTTTAAAGAATATTTTCAAGTCTATTCTCCGCAGTGTAGGCGTGGATTTTTAAAGAATATTTTCAAGTCCATTTTCAGCTCTGTAGGCGTGGATTTTTAAAGAATATTTTCAAGTCTATCCTCCGCATTGTAGGCGTGGATTTTTAAAGAATATTTTCAAGTCTATTCTCCGCATTGTAGGCGTGGATTTTTAAAGAATATTTTCAAGTCTATCCTCCGCACTGTAGGCGTGGATTTTTAAAGAATATTTTCAAATCTATCCTTCGCACTGTAGGCGTGGATTTTTAAAGAATATTTTCAAGTCTATCCTCCGCACTGTAGGCGTGGATTTTTAAAGAATATTTTCAAGTCTATCCTCCGCACTGTAGGCGTGGATTTTTAAAGAATATTTTCAAGTCTATCCTCAGCTCTGTAGGCGTGGATTTTTAAAAGATTATTTTTTCAAGTCTATCCAGCTGTAGGCGTGGATTTTTAAAGAATATTTTCAAGTCTATCCTCAGCACTGTAGGCGTGGATTTTTAAAGAATATTTTCAAGTCTATCTTCAGCTTTTTAAGCGTGGATTTTTAAAGAATATTTTCAAGTCTATCCTCAGCTCTGTAGGCGTGGATTTTTAAAGAATATTTTCAAGTCTATCCTCAGCTCTGTAGGCGTGGATTTTTAAAGAATATTTTCAAGTCTATCCTCAGCTCTGTAGGCGTGGATTTTTAAAGAATATTTTCAAGTCTATCCTCAGCTCTGTAGGCGTGGATTTTTAAAGAATATTTTCAAGTCTATCCTCAGCTCTGTAGGCGTGGATTTTTAAAGAATATTTTCAAGTCTATCCTCAGCTCTGTAGGCGTGGATTTTTAAAGAATATTTTCAAGTCTATCCTCAGCTCTGTAGGCGTGGATTTTTAAAGAATATTTTCAAGTCTATCCTCAGCTCTGTAGGCGTGGATTTTTAAAGAATATTTTCAAGTCTATCCTCCGCACTGTACGCGTGGATTTTTAAAGAATATTTTCAAGTCTATCCTCAGCTCTGTAGGCGTGGATTTTTAAAGAATATTTTCAAGTCTATCCTCAGCTCTGTAGGCGTGGATTTTTAAAGAATATTTTCAAGTCTATCCTCAGCTCTGTAGGCGTGGATTTTTAAAGAATATTTTCAAGTCTATCCTCAGCTCTGTAGGCGTGGATTTTTAAAGAATATTTTCAAGTCTATCCTCAGCTCTGTAGGCGTGGATTTTTAAAGAATATTTTCAAGTCTATCCTCAGCTCTGTAGGCGTGGATTTTTAAAGAATATTTTCAAGTCTATCCTCAGCTCTGTAGGCGTGGATTTTTAAAGAATATTTTCAAGTCTATCCTCAGCTCTGTAGGCGTGGATTTTTAAAGAATATTTTCAAGTCTATCCTCAGCTCTGTAGGCGTGGATTTTTAAAGAATATTTTCAAGTCTATCCTCAGCTCTGTAGGCGTGGATTTTTAAAGAATATTTTCAAGTCTATCCTCAGCTCTGTAGGCGTGGATTTTTAAAGAATATTTTCAAGTCTATCCTCAGCTCTGTAGGCGTGGATTTTTAAAGAATATTTTCAAGTCTATCCTCAGCTCTGTAGGCGTGGATTTTTAAAGAATATTTTCAAGTCTATCCTCAGCTCTGTAGGCGTGGATTTTTAAAGAATATTTTCAAGTCTATCCTCAGCTCTGTAGGCGTGGATTTTTAAAGAATATTTTCAAGTCTATCCTCAGCTCTGTAGGCGTGGATTTTTAAAGAATATTTTCAAGTCTATCCTCAGCTCTGTAGGCGTGGATTTTTAAAGAATATTTTCAAGTCTATCCTCAGCTCTGTAGGCGTGGATTTTTAAAGAATATTTTCAAGTCTATCCTCAGCTCTGTAGGCGTGGATTTTTAAAGAATATTTTCAAGTCTATCCTCAGCTCTGTAGGCGTGGATTTTTAAAGAATATTTTCAAGTCTATCCTCAGCTCTGTAGGCGTGGATTTTTAAAGAATATTTTCAAGTCTATCCTCAGCTCTGTAGGCGTGGATTTTTAAAGAATATTTTCAAGTCTATCCTCAGCTCTGTAGGCGTGGATTTTTAAAGAATATTTTCAAGTCTATCCTCAGCTCTGTAGGCGTGGATTTTTAAAGAATATTTTCAAGTCTATCCTCAGCTCTGTAGGCGTGGATTTTTAAAGAATATTTTCAAGTCTATCCTCAGCTCTGTAGGCGTGGATTTTTAAAGAATATTTTCAAGTCTATCCTCAGCTCTGTAGGCGTGGATTTTTAAAGAATATTTTCAAGTCTATCCTCAGCTCTGTAGGCGTGGATTTTTAAAGAATATTTTCAAGTCTATCCTCAGCTCTGTAGGCGTGGATTTTTAAAGAATATTTTCAAGTCTATCCTCAGCTCTGTAGGCGTGGATTTTTAAAGAATATTTTCAAGTCTATCCTCAGCTCTGTAGGCGTGGATTTTTAAAGAATATTTTCAAGTCTATCCTCAGCTCTGTAGGAGGCTGTATTTTAGCATTCCGGGTTCTTGGATACTGAAAACATATTTTCGAACATTTTTATATTGATTCTTGTTTTATGATAGCTCCCATATACAGACTTACCCAACTTTAGATATCAGTATCAAGCAAATCAGTTTGACCTGATGCAGTTAAAAATTCTCGAATATTGTGGAACAAACCTCGTAAAATTTATTTTCTAATTATTCACTAAAAATTAAATATCCTTCAAAAAATCTAAATAATTTATTTATCACAATTTAATATTAAATTCGTTATTTATAACACTGCCTTCTAAACATTTGAGCTTTACTGCGTATCCACTTGTTGGCCACTAAAAAAAGAAAAACAAAATTAATAAAATATTTAAAATACATATAACGAAACACAATTCACTCATTATCACCTACCCCACTTAGAACCAATTAGGACGGGACAGGCAGCATGGAGGGTAAGCCAATTACCCTCAAGGTCGTTTTTCAAATTGTACCACACCAGGGCGGAACCTTTTTTAGGGAAGACAGCTGTTGGAATGTTGGGGAAGACAGTGGCACCGCCCTGCTCCACGTCACTCAACTAGAAAATATGGATAGAAAAACAATATTATGAAAAGTAAAATTGCTGTCCTCCCAAAAAGAAACAAAACAAAATAATCTTACGTAAATTAAAACTGTAGCCACGCGATCGCCCTCTTTTACCACCTTCAAATCCTGAAAATTTCCAAGAAATTTCATAAAGTTTTTTTTCTCATTATTACACAAAATAACATTTCAAATCGCCACTTACCGATGAAACATTAAAGAAATCATAATGTGTATCGTAGTGACCACCCAATCCGTAATTCATAATTTGCAATGCTTCTGAACCGTTCGTATCCATACCAGTCATATCCATAATACGTTGATTAAGTCTTTGGGTGGTAGGTGAAATTTCTTCATCGATTCCTGTAGATTTGGCTGTTCGCGTCCGAACCACAATGGGTTGTTTATTGTCATCGCTATATACTGTGGCACGTTTTAGATCAGGTCGGGCCATATTTTTCAATTCTTCAATTTCATGCTCAGATATAATGTCGTGATAGAGTACCATATATGGGTCTAATTGTAAAATTTCCATTTTTAATGGAGCTAATTGTAGGAAAGCGGATGCTGTTCTGTTATACAGGCAGTGTAAATTGGAAATGTAGTTGGAGTAGAAACCACGGCAACCCAGTTGATAGGGATCTGGTTCTGGGACAAGGAACTGTAATAATAAAAAAAGAGGCACATATATTTTTTGGATTAAATTTTTAAAAAATTACTATTATTCACATTAAAATTCGGCCATAGGTTTAAAACTATGTGCGAAATTCAATTCCAGGGAGAGCAAGTTAAAACTGTGTTAAGTTTGGGCAGAAATGTGTATACCCTCCTCCATAAGTTACCCATTTAAAATATCGATCGTGGACTTTTATATGAGGACTATGCCATTGTAAATTGTCTTCCAGTAGCTAGTTTATGATCTATCACATTTACAGACTCTTAGATTGGAAAATTGGGTTCGTGACCTAAACATACCAAAAAATTAATTGGGGTCTTTATATGGAGGCTATTTAAAAGCCTCCAGGAATATGTAATGTTTATTTACTTTTTTATTACTACTATAATATAAAACCATTGAGCGGAGCAATATAGTCGGGCCGACCATACGATACCCTACACAACTACCACTGAACTCTTACTTTCTGCCGATGTTAATTCTGAGCCTGGGCAATATTTCGTGATATTTGCACCTTCTTGCCCGATAAGAGGTCTAACCCTGACATATTTTCGAATATTACTAATATTCAGCACAGCCTTCTAAATACTTGCCCAGATTCCCTCCACCGTGAGTTGTGTTGTGATGTTCGGTTTATATTTGTGGCCTATAAATCGACTCGAAAAAAAACACATCAAAATAAGTTTCGGTCCACTTCATCCTAAAATTTTTATCTGATCATCTTCATTGGCCAGAACCCATCCTACATGCAAAATTTCGTGAAGATTAGTCCATAACTGTGGCCTGTATCGTGTTTACAAATTATAATGGACAGACCTACGGACACACATGCCTAGATCTACTCAGCTAGTCGAGATAAGGTGGGTCTAGGACCAAACTCTTGGGGCTGAACAAAGCTATAATACCCTGAATGCATAGTTGTGTAGGCTATAAATATGGAAGCTATAGGAAAGTAATGCAAGGGGATATGATCGACGGATAACAGGTGTTAAGGCAAGGCAGACTATTTCTATGGAAAAACTGATGGACACTGTAGCCCCTTTTTATAGGTAAACCAAGGGAACCGATTTCTACAGACTATTTCAGAAAAAAATATCAAAAACTTCACGCATATTGTTCGGATAGTCAATGATAAATATTTAAGAACGTCCCTGACAATTGTCCTAAAATTCCACGTCAAAGATATACACTTAAGATTTTTTTTTTTTTCAAATTCATGCCCGAGATCGAACCTAAAACCAGAGCAACATACCTCAGTTACTTCATTTGTTGTAATATTGGCCAAAAATTCAATTTCATTTCTTCGTTGCATCAATAGAGCATCAGTTGGTTTTAAATTGTAGGCTTGTTGCATAGCTATCAAAGCATCTTTAGTACGATCTAAAATAAAAATGCATATTTTTAGACTAAATATGCAATACACATTTCCCATTTAATACTCACTCTGCTTTACTAGCGTTTCACCGTACAAAGCGTACACTTTTTCTTTGCCAAAATCCATTATTGCATTATATTCAGAATCTTCATGTGACATTATAGCCTGATATGTCCAATAGGCAGAATGGAAATATTTTGCCTGACCATGGAGGTAATAGCCCATAAAATAACGATCAACGGTTTTCATTTGAACACTGGAAGGAATATGAAACGTAATTATAACTGAGATCGGCAAGAGATCGCTTATAATAAATGGGAATGCTAAAACTTACTTGTATTGTTTGTCGTTCAAAATACCCTGAACCATATCTCCTGGATCGAGACCGTAGGTAATTTGTAGACGATATATAGCTTCAGCTGCTTCGGTAAGATCTGTCCAGCTTGGCATTTGTGGTCGCAATTGTTGTATAACTCCGACGTGGGCTATAAAATGAAAATAAAATATCGTAATTTATAAAAAAAACGATAGACTGCAAAATGTCAATATATGTGTAAAAACTCGAAATGATCGTATTACACTCTTTAAAGTATTTATAATTCTGATCAGATAGAAACGTTAACCCATTAGCCCCAACATTGCCCACAATGTTTGGAAGTGTATATCTCATACCATACTTTCTAAATATGTATGAATATTGTAGGGTGTGGGAGAGTTTATGAAATTTGGAAACAGTGTTTGACAGCATTATTTAAATAGTTTTGTTAACCGATTGTATGACCTTTATTCTCAATATCGTTTTCAATTATTGTATACGAGACACTAAATAATAATTTTGTACTCTTATTACTTAAAATAATGTATAGAATCTCATAATGTATAGAAACTCATAATGTATAGAATCTCATAATGTATAGAATCTCAATCATCATAGTGGTCTTTTTAAACCTCTTTGTGATTGTTCAAATTACATTGAAATTAGTTTTATGGACAGGGATACAAAACAAAAGGTTCGGACGATTTCAAAATATTCCAAAATATCCAAAATTGGCCGGATAAGCACCAAATAATAATAGCAAGGGCCTCCATATTTGCCTCTATACAAAAACTTGAATCTTTGGAAATGTTCCCCAGAGGGTTCTTATGCTTTGACAAACCGAAACTTGTTTTGGAAAATGCTGCTAGGTCCTTTAAAATACTGAAACCGAACGGACGATTATATGGAGGGTATGCCAATCCGTGGATCTGTATTAAACATTTTCTGCGAGATACTCTGATAATCTGGAGTACCAAATCATAGGTACGAAAATATATATGGGAGCTATATCTAAATCTGAACCGATTTACAGGAAACTTAACACACATCATTCTAGATCTAATTCATTACGCTGTGCCAAATTTCGTGCAAATCGAAAGATATATAGGTACTTTGGTCGACCATTTACATTAAATCGCGGATTTTCAAGAAACTTAACACACATCATTCTAGACCAAATTCATTACGCTGTGCAAATATATTGTGCAAATCGAGAAATATATAGGGACTTTGGTGCACCATTTACATTAAATCGGACTAAAATATATATGGGAGCTATATCTAAATCTGAACCGATTTTTCCCAATTTCGTCCTTAGGCCAAATAAGTGACCTATGCCAAATTTCATCCAAATCGGATCATAAATGCGACCTGTACTTTGTTCACAAAAATACATGGACGGGCGGACGGACATACGGACCTGCGTAAATCGACTCAGAAAGTGATTCTATGTATATTCTCAAAAGGAACCATGTGTCTATCTCGTTTCCTTTTTGTCTGTTACAAACATATGCACCTGTACCACAGTGTGGTGAAGGGTATAAATGTATATGTTGTGCATATGTGTGTATTGTTTTGAATACTATGTTAAATAAATTGAAATATATTCAAATTGAAATGAAAATGAGAAACTAAATACTTTGTTATGGATGAAACAAATATTTCATTGTATTCCCTACTGGATTTTGTAACGAAATCATAACCTTTCATTCATTTTTCGTGTTTTTATACCCTTCACCACACTGTGGTACAGGGTATTATGTCTTTGTGCATATGTTTGTAACAGGCAAAAATAATCGAGATAGACCCATGGTTCCTTTTGAGAATATGCATAGAATCACTTTCTGAGTCGATTTATGCATGTCCGTCTGTCCGTCCGTCCGTCCATGTATTTTTGTTAACAAAGTACAGGTCGCATTTATGATCCGATTTGGATGAAATTTGGCACAGGTCACTTAATTGGCCCAAGGACGAAACCTATTGAAATTGGAGAAAATCGGTCCACATTTAGGCATAGCTCCCATATAAGGGTACCCCCAAATTTTCGGTATTTTGAGGTTCTTGAGCGCGTTTTTTAACTGAATTCGCTGAAATTTGGTACATTGAGTTCTTATTGGGTAGCAAATATCCCTACCAAAAATTATAAATAAAGGTCCATTTTTTCGGATAGCCCCCATATAAGATTACCCCCAATTTTCGGTATTTTGGGGGTTTTGATAGCATTTTTCGACCGAATTTGCTGAAATTTGGTACTTTGTGTTCTCATTGGGTAGCAAATCTCCTTACCAAAAATTAAAAGTAAATGTCAATTTTTTCGGATAGCCCCCATATAAGGGTACCCCAAATTTTCGGTATTTTCGGGTTCTTGGGCTTGTTTTAAACTGAATTCTCTGAAATTTTGTACATTGGGTTCTTATTGGGTACCAAATTACTCCACTAAAAATTATAAATATAGGTATAGTTTTTCTGGTAGTCCCCATATAACGGTACCCCAAATTTTTGGTATTTTGGGGGTTCTGATCGTATTTTCAACCAAATTGTCTGTAATTTAGTACGTCGAGTTCTTATTAGGTAGCACATCTCTACACTATAAATAGTGGTCAATTTTTTCTGGTAGCCCCCAGGTTTTGAGGTTCTTGAACCAATTTTTTTTTCTGGCACAGGATATTATGTTTTTGCGCATATGTTTGTAGCAGGCAGAAGGAAACGAGACTGACACATACGACTTCTGTTAGGATTCATTTCATATAGTCGGCCCCGTCCGACTTTACTACTTTCCTTACTGGTTAATAATGTGTTGAAAAAATATCACATAAACACAACCACTTGTTGCTTATATTTATTTTATATTTTGGCAGAAGAAGCCACAGCCTACATATTTGCTTTTTGTTATTCAACTCAAGCTGCCCTACCATGTATTATTATACAATGGTACAGACTATCTATTATTTATATCTTCTACTTACCACTATTAATTGGATCTGTCATAAATAGTTCAATATTCGGCCAATCATAATACATGCGACGTATTAGCGCGTAACCATTCAATGGATTGTGCAGATACTCCTCCGGATTATCCAAGCCTTTTTGATTCTCTGCTCGTAATTCACTCACTAAACTTTAGAATGAAATTAAAAGAAAAAAACACACACACACAAACTTTCTTTCATTCGCACTTATTAAATTCCGCAACACATTATTTTTAAACACACACCTTTTTAACCGATGAACTTTTTGTTCCAACTCCACGGTAAATTGTTGGACACTTTCAATCAAAGTGCTTTCCATTAGCAACAAATTTTCCATTCCCGCAATGGAGGTGGAAAAACTCTTCTCCCAGTCAGACATGCAATAGCCAGTGTTTAGGTGTGCTATGGCTATTGACAGGATGATAGTTGTTGTCCAGCATTCTTTTAAAAACATTTTGTGGTGATGGGATGATGTGGTCGTTGTTATGTATTTTTTATAAAAAATATTATTTTGTAATTATGATTTTATAACAAATTGATTGAAGAAAGAAAAAACACACTTTGAGGTTTGAAATATATTTTCTTTGCACTTGAATCAGACGTCTCGTTGTTGCGTTATGATGTATGTATGGCGGTTGTATCTGACAGACTGGCACCAAATCGGAAATAAAACTAATATTTTAAAAATCGAAACTTATTTACAAATCCAGCAGTGTGTGGTTTACTCTTTTTGTGGTTTTCTTACTCTACTTGACGTAGTAATAGTTTGAAATAAATTTAGGTTTTTTAGTTTTATTTTTCTTATTGTTTTTGTTGTTTTTGCTTTGACTTTACCTATTTTTAATTAAAACTAACTACGGTTACGGTTGAAGAGAACTGGCATGCGAGTGCAAGTGAGTAAATATGTTGGATTTGTTTTTTTTTTCTTTCGTGTAGTAACCATAATTTCAAGTCATACTTTTATTAGTGGCTTAGTGGAACACACATCTTAACATAAATACCTTCCCTTTCAGGCCTTACTTAAATGGTAATCTGAGGGTTTTTTTTTTTTTTTTTGTTTTTGAAAGTCCAAATGTTTAGGGAAAAGTTGAAAGTGAACTATGTATGTTATTTTGTTCGTTGACCTTAGTTTTTTTAGCTCAAGATATTTTAATTTAAGTACCTAAAATAATTATTGCACACCTCTAACAAACTAATTCACTTCAAATCAGCAGAAAAAATAAAAAAAATTAACTTAAGAGTATATACAACGAATCGTAACTGAATGAAATGAAAACGGGTAACAGAGTGTCAGCCAAGTTGTTTGGACTTACATTCACGTTAATGTGTAAGACATGGCGAGTTAAAAAAAATGTAACACAATTTGAATCACTACAAATTGTGTCTGGACTGAACGTGCAGGTTGAATTTTATATACCCTATATGATGTTTACCACGTTTGAACGCATTTTTTGGATTGAAAATATATTCTTTAAAAAATCCATGCCTGTAATAACCCTTGAAAAACATTCTAAAATATATAATATTCTTTAAAAGATCCAGGAAAACTCACGTTTTTGGACTGGGAGGTAGCTATGGGCCTCAAATAATGATTTTTATAATTCTACGTTCCAAAAATAACTTGAGGAGAATGATTTTTTTGTTTAACAAATATTTAAGGTCTTGAGTTGAACATCAAAAACTTTCATGTGTGCCCCGGGCTTATATCGGTCAAAATGACCAAATCCAATTACAGAAATTGCATATAAATCAGAACCAAGTTAATTATTCTAGATTCAATCGAACATTTCCATTTTCATTATAACGGTGCACTTTACGTACTACCATGTATAGTTTACCATTAAATCAAAAATTATTATTTTACCCTCAAGAATTTAGACTCTATATGAATTTGACTCTATATTTATTGGATGAAATTATTATACTTTAACCAAACCTGTACAATGTTGACATAGGTGGATGGAAAAATACATAGTGTCCGATTTCATCAAAACTTTGCAAATCCTAATATTTTTGCCAAACCTCTATTAAGTTAGAAGATGGGACTCATCGGTTTCCCCCTTCTGTTATCTCCTCCTCAAAGGGTAAATATCTTGAAAGCTTTTAATTGCATACCAAACTAATTGTGTATCCGAAGTGATCCATTTAATGTACATCGCCACATTAGTCACAAGAAATATCGTTTACAGTATTTACTAAATACGACGGAATCTGCCTCAGTGTCTTATACCTTTTTTATTACGCTTACATTTACCAATTTTGCACCAGTTTTTCATACCGAGTTTCATCTTTCTGGGATGTCGAAGGGTTTCAAAAAGCCGCAGAGAGAGAACGGGACGTACATTCGGACAAATAACAACATTATATATAAGCTAGCATATGCCTGGTACTTCGTTAGCGGATGTAATCATTATTTAAACATGTCTAAACATTTTATTTTGTTTTCACAGAGAACTGCATATGTCAGATTAGCAAATCAACATAAACACCAATATTTACCATAATTAAAATTTGATTGCCATTTAATTCCTTTGTTATCTTATAGTACGTATTTCCAAAACATATCTAAACACTACACACCAATTCTCATCGCAACACAAATCTAGCTAACTTTAGTAAAATGTATTAACCTTTCGTACTCTTGTAGTACTTATTTCTAAAACTAAATCTAAATTTCATTATTGGAGTTCTATAGGTTCACCCACTCTTAGCAAATTTAATACCATTTCGTACACAATAATATAAATCCAATAGAAATCATATTTCCCAATTTCAGGATGCCAGTCCGATCGCTTAACAATTGCACCTAATTTAGTACCATTTTAACACTATAACTCCGAAGACAGTCATTTTGACTGCTTTCCAATTTCAAGTACAAAAGCAACTGTGCATTTAATGACACTTTTTTTTTAAATATGGTGTTCAGTGTTCCAGTTCAATCAGTTCACCCAAATCCACATTTAGTACAAATTTCCAAAACGCACTAAATATCCCAATCCTACATCCAAACAATGATCCTAACTCAAATGTCAGTATTCCCAGCTCTATTGATTCCCACAAAATCCAAATGGTACCAAATGTAGTACCATTTAGTACTCCATCCCTTTCTCCAAATTAAAGTTGTACCAAATTTAGTACAGTTTAGTATTTTTTGTATACATGAGTACATGCTTTCAAAACTACCTCCTCATATAGACTCTACTTCCTAACCTTTATTTGCATTCCAGATTTCAAGTTTTAGCTCTATCCATTTATAATTGTACCAAATTTAATAAATTTTAGTACTTTTCGAAATGTCCAAAAACCGCTTTGCTACATCTATTCTACACTTCTTCAGTGACCCCCAGTTAAAATTTAAGAGTTCTAACTGCACCGGTTCGGTATCTCAATCGGATTGAAAAAAAAGTGGTCCGATAGTTGGCTTTACTTTATGGAAAAGTGTATAAATCTTGATGAATAATACTATGAAAAAAAAACAAGAAACCCATTTTTAATGACAAATATTCAAATTTTCGTTACTAGACCAGAAATATATATAGTAGCCCTTTTACAGACTATTGTTCTATGGCTCCATGGGGTGAACTACTCCATAGTAAACCATATTTAATATTTGTTATATTTTCAACTTCAAAAATTATAGGTGTTGTCGGTGACCAGAACCGATCTTACATGCTAAATTTAACGACGCTTAGTTCACAATTACGGCTTGTATTTTGGTTATAAATCATATTTCACAGTCGGACAAACATAGCTAAATCGAGTTAGCTATTGGAAATAATACTATTGGTCTACCTTCAAAATTTCGTCACTATGACTATTTTTCCAGTGCCTCCCCTTTATTTATCTCCCAAAAATTAATTAAATGTACACCTAATTCTGTTTTTACACGAATTTGAAATAACACGAGTAAATACGAAAAAATATTTCTATTTTTACACGACATAATTTGAAATAACACGAATACAAAAAAGAAACAAAATTATTTTTTTTACATGAACTATTTATTTATTGAAGAAAATTCTGGAATGCTTTTGTTCAAACATCCCTGCCTTAATTAGAGTAACAACCCCGCATGGCATGAATTTCTGATATGGCAACATTTTATATAATTCTGGTGTGTGTTCGGAGTTATGTCTATGTATGCGTAATTTCTGTTTTACGGGAAATGCGGGATTCCCCGAATTATTGAAAAAGTAAAAATGTACATAATGTATTGTACACACAATTTAGTTCCTATTTAACAATTATAATTTAAAGATCGTTAGTTTTTGCTGATTTTTAACAAGTGCTAAGTAAAATAAAGTAGAAGCTCATATAATTTTGGTAGACCAATAACAGGTTAGTTTCAAATATTTAATTTCTGGTATTATTTTTTTTATGAAATCTAAATTTTAATTTATTTTATTATAATTTAGTTTATTTAATAAATTAAAACGAAAATAAATTCTTAAAATAACTACAACAATATTTTTTTTATATTATTTAGTCTAATTTTAACTTATTTTTTGAGGTCTAGAACCAGTACTTGGCCAGTATCTTTTTTACACGATCTTTTTACACGAATTTCTCGGGAACCATTCTATCGTGTAAAAACAGAATTAGGTGTAATTCCAAATTTTTAGATTCTAACTTTTACCACTCTTTTAAAATACAAATTTCCCCCGTTTCAAAAATATTTAGTTTAAATGTATCACTTGCTATTAATTCATGTCCGCCGAAGTCAAGTGTAGGGTATAATTATTTTTTTTATTATTAATAACTTCAATGAATGTAAGCAATGTGGAAGCGGCAGGTGGCTAATATTTCTCATTACAACACATTTAGGTATGTACGTATGTATGCATTTCACTATGTGTATGTTTATATACAAACAAAATACATTTTGTTTTCGGCCAAAGAGTTGTTAATGCATGGTCGATGACGGTGTACGTTATGATACCATTCAATCGAGATATTTCTATCAATGCTGTCTTACTAACTCTTAACGATATTTTGAAATTATTGAGTGATCAATTTACAATTAACGGTTAAATGGGAGAGTAGAGGGATAAATGTTTACACTTCCATGTGAAAGGTTATATACGAAAGCGACCGATTTTTATACCCTTCACCACACTGTGGTACAAGGTATTATGTATTTGTGCATATGTTTGTAACAGGCAAAAATTAACGAGATAGACCCATGGTTCCTTTTGAGAAAATGCATAAGTCGACTTTCTGAGTCGATTTATGCATGTCCGTCCGTCTGTCCATGTTAAATTGTAAACAAAGTACAGGTCGCATTTATGATCCGAATTGGATGAAATTTGGCACAGCTCATTTGTGTGGCCCAAGGACGAACCCTATTGAAATTGGGAAAAAAAGGTTCAGATTTAGGTATAGCTCACATATATATTTTCGTCCGATATAAGATAAATGGTACACCAAAGTTTCGATTTACACGAAATTTGGCAC